TGGGCAAACGCTCAACAACATCAAAGCCAAAAGTCAGGCATTGCCAACAAAAACAAAAACAAAAGGTAGGTTGAAGAAAAGAGAAATATCAAAAGCCCAAATATTGCAATGTCAGCAGCAGATTTATTTTGGTTGCTTTTGTGTCCCTAAGGAGAGGGGAAAAACAAATCCCAATTCTGCATGGGGTTTCCAATGTTAGTCGCCTTTATGATCATGCAGTGGGTAATAGCAGGAGCATTATTTTATCAAACCCCGACCTGCAAGGGTGACAGCCACTTTTGCCCAAATTTTAATGATAACTATTTCCTAAAACACCCTATCTGTCATTTTAATACATGTATTCTCCCGCTGATTCAATTGATAATAGTTCTTTAAAAAATGACTTAATACCTCAGCACATACAACTCTCAATAACAGATCCAAATTATCATTCTTAAAATAAATATTTCTATGCATAAGTCTTTTGGAAGTAGTTTCATGTCACATTTGTACACAAAATAAAAACCCAGTAGAAACGTAGACAACATACCTTGAACAAGTGTTGACTTAAACCTGTTTAAGTACTCGTTATACAAGGAGGAGGCCAGTGGTGCAGCAGAACAGAAGGGAGTACGGATACTGGTCAGGTCGTACTTTTCTACCATAGGATGTTTGGCTAGGAACAAGGCAATAGGTGGAACCATCTGTAGAATTGTCACCTGATCCAAACATGTTTATTTAGACGTTAATTACTTTAATGGTAAAGGGAATCGTCTAGGTTAATTCCCTAATTCTGATTTATTATTTACATCAGTGAAAAGTAATTGTTATCATTTAGGAATTATTTTCGCTTTATTTGCAAATAAGCGCATCCTTTTCGACGTATACTGCTGTTGTCGACAGGCGAAAATTTCGCAATGCAACCCCGTCGGTACATGAATGATAGGTTAGCAACGATCATTCATATAGTACGATACTATTTTAACAATATTTCTTTTCGGGATACTCGTACCACTGCCAAAGACAAAGCAATGGAAACTGCTTTTTAAGGTATGGCTATATCTTTGATAAATCATTTTTGAATAGAAAAGTATACATTGCTGGACTTTTATGAAGGGATAATGTAAGATGAATTGAACAAAATGTAATCAACAAAAGTGTTCTGAGAGTAAAATATTCTGCGGGGCTAGACTGGGATGTCGAACCCTGGATATCAGATTATTATACCATCGCTGAAAACGATAGAGCAATTAACCTAGGCAACAGAAGTGTACAAACCCAAATGTGCAACAATTATATCCAAACGGAAATTAAGGGGAGGTTACTGTGTATCAGAAAAACGGCATTGCAGTGATAAATCATTTCTGAAAAGAAAACCATACCTTGCGAGACTTTATAAAATATAATGAAGATGAATTCAAAATATTATCATCAATATAGTGTTCTTCAAAACATAGCGGGGCTAGACTGGGATTCGAACCCAGGACTTCAGACTAGTATACTACTGCTCTAGCAGACTGAGCTACCTAGTCATCATACATCTGGTGAAGAAGATAAGCTAGACGAATTCATGTTAAACATTTTCATATAAACAAGTACTTCGACATTATGACTGCAAATGTTATATGACAAAGATACAAGAATGAGTATTATAAAAAAGCAAGAAACGCAAATTCAAAGTTAAAGTCGGCACGAACTGACAAAAAACGGAATCACTTGCAATTACAATGTTACAGTTAATTCAAGCTTGATTATGAAATAAGTTCTTACCCTGTGCTGTTCAATGGCAGCAAGGAAGGGTTCAGGCTCGAATCGGGGCATGGTTACAAGGACGCCTCCCTCCTGGACAACACCCATCAGAATGGGAATCATACCGTAACAGTGGAACAAAGGAAGTATGCATAAACTTGTGTCGTCAGCAACGGATTTCGATAAAAGTCTGCATAAATATATCAAAGGTTTCTCTTAGAATCAAGGTATATTTTCAGCATTACCTGCATGCATTTCTTGTCAGATCGCTTAAACACAAATGAATAATGCTATGATAGTAAGAAGAAACTTATTGGCTTTTGACAGGCTTCGTGGTATGTGTTTGTGCGGTTTGGTACATGACCGTTCTACTTTTAAATGAAAGGGTTCACAGGTTGTACCTACCCGCCACGTGCATTACTCGCATGAAAAACACGTGCGTCTCCAATGTGGCCACCTATTACTGATGTCCGTTTCGCTGATGAAGCATATTACGCTTACCCTTCCAGAACGCCTGGTCGTATTCTCATTTTATTTCTTCATCTTTCTTTTGTTCATATTTTGCGTAGTTTTAACGACTTTAAAATTGAATCACATTTGGTTTAATTTTTTAAGAATTTCAATCCACTTGAGTTTTTTTATGGACAGTTCAGAACCTATGTGAAACTACTGTAATACAAAGATATTTTATATGTTTAAATAATGAAATATCGCAAATGATGACCCCGGATGCATTGCATATAAAATGGAAATTATGCATCGGGAGTTTTGATAGTGCTTGTATGGAATATAACCATTTATCACATTTCTATTATAAAAGATATTATGCAAGAATTAGTGTCCTCGGAGTCCGATTTCAATAGTTCCCTACATAAAGATGTGACACCTAAATTACACATAACTTTTATAGATAATAGAATTGTTGTGTTCATAAAAAATAAAAAATAAATTAAATTAAAACAAGTTTGTTTCCTAAAACTTATTTTAGTAATTGTCAATCTCACTTATTATTACTTGAATGTAGTAATTTGTACAATTTTATTTACATTTCTGTTTTGTAAATAACAAAGCAATCTCGTTATGGATAAAATAACATTTTAAAAACATGCAATGAAATACGGTTATTTCATTTTCGAGGAGACGTTTAATTATATGATGATGCTGTTTATGTGATCGCGTATTGAAATTATTGCAGATATGTTATTTGAAGTGAAATTACACAAATCTTGTAAGAGTCTAAATCATTATAAAGTTAAACTAACCTGAACTGTTGTAGATTTGAAACGACATTCATGTGTGTAAGCATGACGCCCTTTGGTAAACCTGAAGTGCCGCTCGAGTAAGGCAATAGAGCCACGTCGTTGTGTGGGTCAATGTCCAGGTTCTCATTGTAGTGACTCCCATCATCATCCAGGAGGGACGAAAATGACCGATATCCATAAGCCTGTCCGACTACGATTACATTCTAACAAGAAATAAAAGATATATTGTTCGTAAAGGCAACTGTATTGCGAATGATCGCAATCGTCTTCATTATATTAGATTTAGGATGTTCGTATGTAGACTATCATCTGTTTTGGGGCTTTTTTGTAATGATAAAATTTAGTTTGTGCTAAGACTATGATATGTATTACTTGGTAGACTATGATGAAACGTGGGTTTATTGAGATCAATGTGTGCCCTAATTTGTGCGTTGTCAGTGCTTTCTCTTCGTGTTGTTGTATTCCAATTCATCTGAGAAAATAAAGAGAATAAAAGATATATGATTGATACCTTTTATTTATATTTATCACTGTAATTGAATTCTATTTTGATGATAAGGAAAGTATTTTTCAATGACAGAACAATCTTCTTTCAGACAATATTTTTTTCATTTTTGAGACGATAATTAAAATAACCGTCAGATAATAATTTGTGTTGCTTCAGACATACAAGTCTTGCTTGGTTCATATTCCGACAAATAGAATGCTTCGTTTCTCATTACCTTAATTTCGTTTTGCAGGTCCCTATCCCCTGCTATAGTTTCTTTGACTAATGGAAGTAGTGTCTCGATTATAACCACACCAACAGTCCCGGAATGATGGAAATGTCGGGAAAGTTCAGCTGAAGTTGAAAACAGCATGACAAAATGCAAATAAAGTATAAGCCTTACCGCAGTAGTATGATAATGATCTGTTAAATCACTAATTTTTAAAGGGGTTTTTCATTTCTGGAAATCTTCAATTCAAAGGTCCAGGAAGTTATTCAAATCTGGTATAAAGCAATTCTCCGTTTACGTGTGTACTTTAAGAGTGCATTGACTGTACTAACGAAGTAATGTTTTGTCGGGAAACCATGAAATTTGGGCTCCACGAAAATATCTAATTTCGCAAAATTGCCGTCTTTGAACATGATTCATTTGCTGCTACTGAGTTCTAATTACAGTATTTTGTTTTTAAACTCCTATTCTAAAATGTGTTGTAGCTTAAGACACTTAAACGGTATAAAAAATGTATATCATAAATTCATACAAGGGAATGTTGCGACAAAAGAAAGATCCCATGAACCCTCGAAAGAATAAACCAATATTGTTTTTAATAGGATGTTCACATATCATGTTACCTTTTTTACCCTCGGTTCATAACATTCAGCTGTGTTCTATTTTGGCATAAGAATATATCTTATATTGTCCGTCCATCATCTCATGAATTCCAAAAACGTTAAAATTCTTCCATATTTCCAGACCATTTATGTGAATCTTTGTGTTACACTTATTTAAACCATTTCAATTACAAATGTCAATTACAAAATTAATTCATAAAACATCAACAAACATTAAATATCTAAACGTTAACATATGTTAGCGCTCGGAATGATGTTGACTTCATGCAAAGCCCAGTTTAAGTTCTTTTCGTATGTAGACAACATATTTTTTTAAATCAATATCCTTTTTGTGAAGCTCATAGAAAACAGGGTTATTTTATCATGATATGAAAATGGTTTGTTTAGTAATATTTATTAATGCCTAACCAACTGCTAAGTAAAACAAAAGGAAAGAAAGAAACTAAAGAAATATAACCGTAGTTATAGTTCGCACTTATATTTCCATCTATTGACAACAGTTCTTGATTCATGAGCATCATGCCTGAGCGCTTTAGAAATCTTTAACATGCATGAAATCAATGATTGTATTTTCATTGATTAGCATATTTTAGCACTATTGAAATAGTGCAAAGACACTGAAATATGATTATCGCTTAAATGAGTGGTTTAAATAGTATGAATTTTGTAAAATTTGAATTCATAAATATTGTGTTGATGATAAGTCAAAAGCGTATAAAGCCCAAGTTTCAAACTGAATGCGATATTCAATCCTGTGTTAAGTTTGGACTAATTCTGATTTTTTGGTATTGTTTGTATTATCTTATTATAAGTAATTATGTTGAAGGCAAGGATCAGTTGACTGAGATAATTGCCTTGATATACTCAAGTGGTAAAAGGAGCTTATTTAAATTTGCGTAAATTGCGTGAAGTGTAAGCCCTGGAATTTTGAGGATGTGTTCATGAATATTATTGTTGTTATTATCAAAGACAATGCAATATTTCACTATGAGAAATGCAGCACTTCACACTTCATCGCTATTCCGTCTTTGCGTATTGCAGAATTATCTTCTCTTGGGAGC